TTACCGGTCTCTGATTGTCTTTGTTTTAAATGTCTGGTTGGGTTGTTGTTGTTTCTCAAAGTCTCAGGTAAAAAATACCGGACACTGGCAAAGGGGAGCTGCATGGTGTGAGGTAAAAATGAACAAAGGAGGACATGTGATACAGGTGTATGAGATTAGGGTGTGGCAGTGGTGATTAGAGGGAATCTCAGGAAGTGAAGTTGTCTGAAATGAGACAGGAAGTTAGTGTACAAAATAAAACAGGAAGTTTAAAAATGAAACAAGATCAAATGCACAATGGTGGGGACATTAACCAGCAGAGCTGTCCTTGACAGCGTGTGCACGTCTATGTGTACGAGCGCGAAATTTCACATACACTATTTTCGCCGGTCGCTTAGCTGGATGAGGGCAAGCGATTGTCGCCTCACCGCACAGGCGCCATAGGAAATGAATGGAGAGCGAGCGACGTCGCCTCCCGTGTGTCGAGCCCTTTACTCTGCACATGTGACAGGGGACATCAGCAATGGTTGGTAATGAGTTCTATCTTGTTTATTTTAGATGTTTTTGTTATTTAGTGTTTTATAGGTAGTTTTAAACATTTGCCTGTATCTTTTTTCTTTTCCAGTTCCTAAACAGGGACTAGGCCTGCAAAAAGGTATTTTAGCTAGAAGGCTGTGCACAGGGTTGACCTGTTTTAATCAAAAAATTACAGAATTATTGAACAGTTTTCGAGCTGTCCCTGACTTAATAATAAAAAACAAAACAATAGATAGTGAGACAGGTTTTGATTCTTGAGAACCTCTATTTGATGGAGTGAGTGGGTTTGGGAGTTTAAGATGCAGAAGAAAGGTTTTTGGATCAGTCCACAGGACTATGCACTCATGCTTGTTGGTCTACAGACCTTCAGTTTCCAGGCGACTTGACACCAACAACAGTTGGACCTCGTATAGACATCTGTGTGTCTTTATGACCACTGTCTACTTCATGAAGCAACAGTAGTCAGATTCACCACAGTTTGGTTGCAGGTGTCACAGCAAAAGGTCAGAACACTGTATATGTGCCCTGCATACTTTAAGATGAGTCTAATGAACTCCCCCTGCAGCCTACCTGTAGCAGTGGCTTGAATCTGCACAAACAGGCTGTTTTTGCTCAGGCCGCCACACAAGAAGAGGGTGCTGATGTCATGTCCTGCCTCCTTCATGGCCTCCAAAATCTGAAGCGTACCAAGCTAGGAGACCAGAATACGACACAGGAGGAATCTGGTTACAAGATGGTGACTTCTGCAAACAGTAAGAAGGGTGAAGAATATTGGTCGTTCCAAACACGTGGCTTACAGCAAGAGCTTGAATGGTAGCCAAATAAAGCAGGGCCAGGTCATCCAGAGTTTGGGAGAGAGACAGTCCCACCAGCTGCAAGACAGTCCAGAGTCAGTAACACAACAATGACAGGAATCACAAATAACGCATAATTTAAGTCATAATTTAGGACATTGAGCCAAACGCTCACCATGCCTTTTAACGTCGGGTCAGCCAGCGGTGACCTGTTCCCGTGGAAGTCCGGACACACATGAAGGCTGGATCCCAGCAGGTCCACAGAAGAACCCGAGTCCACCATCAGACTCAGGTGTCTGTTCAGGTAGGAGTACATGTTTTCACCTGCAACAGCACCACTAAAACAACAAGAAAAATATGTTGGAATGACACGGTCAGAACGCCAGCAGAATAATTCTCAGAAGACACGATGTACTCATACATGTATCATCTCAGCTAAAGTTCTTTTTTTTGTTTTAAACACAAGATAAAATCCACCTGACCTCTGCTGGACCAGATCCTGAAGCTGACTGTAGGCAGCGTGGCCCTTCACAATGTGGTCAATCTGAGACAAGATACATGTACAGATGAGTTCCTGCCATCTGACACACAAACTGTTTATTAAACACATCACATCATCATTTCCTCACAACTTATTGTCTGAAAACTTATCAGGCATTCACACCGAGATGATATTTGCTTCTGAATGTTTTTCAGCACGTATCCTGTTCTGCATTTCTTGTGCTATTTCAATAATTAATTCATATATGAAAATGTTCAGCTCATTCAGGGCATTCCAGTAATGTCTAATGGTATTTTAGCTCCAGTGTTTCCCCTACCATTATACAGGCGCCCCACCCCACCCCCCCAAGTCGAGAGCTATTTTTTTGCGACCCTCCATGTCCACCTCTCACCAAACTTAGGGAAAAAGACAGCGCAGAGCGAGGCTGAGCGCTGTGTGTGGTCCTCACAAAGATAGGAAGACGTGTGTGAGATTAGACGCGCAGCTCTGCTTTTAATCATGTAGCACCGATGCGACAGCTTTGCAAGCTACTTTTTCTTTCTTTAAAAGAAAATGTGAAAGGTGAAGCCACAGCATGCTTACTATCTTATCAATAATTACTGCCTTTTTTTTCTTTCTGTGGGTGGGGGGTCAGCTTTACGCAGCTCAGGTGAACACCTCCCGCGTTTCCTGGACTATTTTCCACCGAGGATTACGTCGTATTTTATTTTTATTACATTTCTAAAAGCACGTCGCAGCATTTCCCCCTGTGTGTTCACGTCACGAGCGCAACAAAACCGCGACGGATCAGCTGACTGTTTTTAAAGTGAGGGGCAGCGAACATGTCCACCTGCAGCTCAGCTCCGACCAGCCCGGCCCGGGACTGAAGAGTTCACACGTCAACCCCTTCAGACGTTTACGTGTTTAATGAGCATCAAATATCTGTAATTTGCGCAAAAAATCAGTATTAATCATGCAGATGGAGAAGAGGTGCGCTGACTGCAGCTGTGCGGGGTGGTGGGGAGGAGGAGGGTCTTTTAAAGACGTGTCTACATTTGACTTTTATTTTTTCTAAAATCACAGAGTTCTCTGAGTCAGCTTCAGATGTTTGTAGTTAATCCTAATCCCATCTAAATTTAAATGGGTGTTTCAATGCCTTTAAGTTACACAATCATTTTACTGGAGAAACTTGTCAGTTTGATAAAAAAAAAACAGTAAAAATATTTTTTTCTGTGCAGAGAACTTCCTCTGCTATAATTTATTTTAAATAAATATATCAAAGCCCCTCAGTTGAAAACACTAAAGGTCGTGTACACAGTGTACTCCTATTTAAATAAAAATGTTTGACCTGTAAGCAGAAAGCTTGTGGATGTTGGTTTTTCATCTATTTTTCAAAGAAGAGGATGAGGAGGAGAATGAGAAAGTTCTCCTCAAGCAGCTCCTAAAACTGTCAAACCTGCTGACTGAGAACATTTGTATATAGTAAACTTTGTATACACAACAATATAGCCT